ACTGATATCGTCGCTGATCTCGTTCCCGGCGAGTCAAGGATGCGCATGTGTAATTATTTGGACACTTTGTCGCGCCGTGTCGCAACTATGTTATGCCCGGCAATCGAGCTCGCCGCTACGGAATCTCGACGTGTAACACTACGGCCGCCTCTCCCTTCGTGTATGTGAGTGGCCGAGGGAGGCACGGAGGGAGAAAGAAGGGTAGTACGAGGGTACGGGGTAGCTTCTCGTGTTTCCCCCTCGTCGAGCTATTCGCCCGCAACGTGGGTAACGCGGAGGCACATATTGCATGAAGGTATTTCAGAATTATCGCCACTTCTCTCAACTACGGATACTACCGGGGAGGGTATACCGGGAAAAATGGTGAACGTGTTACGTGCTCGAGAGGCGTCAGTCGCCTTTATCTTGCGAGCCGGCAGCGCGAGCTTCGAGGCGTGGATAAATAAATGATGTATCAATTTAATTTCCAGTCGCTCCGGCGCACGCGAACCCGAGACATTCAAAGCTGAAAATTAGACGGTACTAAGAGGGAAAGAAACCGCCGGCTAATATCGGGCTTTTATCAAACGCAAGAAAACTCGAGCTTACCGAGACGGTCGGAAAAAGCTGCGGATAAAATACCACTGCTCCGGAACGGTATAAAATAAAGCGATAAGAGTTCAGTTGGATTGTCGAGCGGCCGATTAAACTCGTTTCTGTCTCGGGATTCGACCGTCCGAGACAGGAGAAAAGGAAAGAAAGCAAGAGAGAAGAGAGAGAGAGAGAGAGAGAAGACGCGATTTCGCGCGACCCTCAGGATGAAATGTTACCAAACGACTCTCTAATTGAGCCTGAAATCAAGGCGGTGTAACGTGTAGTGACGTGTAAACCGATATTAGAGCCTTATTAAACGACGAGCGCGGCGCGCTTAAAAGGCGGCCCGCACGGTCGATATATTCGCCTGTCGCGTGTAGATTCGGGACGTCGATTAATATTACCTCTCTCGATCTGCACGGCGCGCCGCGCCGCGCCGATATGAATTCGTATGAGCAAAGTGCATTATATTATTAACCCAGGCTGGAAACCGCAGCTGCGTATCGGCTATCTGTCAGTGAATTATTCAACGGGCCGAAAGAGCCGGCGCTTGATAAATAACAAATTTTATAAGAGTCCTACTTGTGTGCGCGCGGCCGTCATGTTTTCTCACTGATCCGCGCGCGCGCGAGCTCTATGATACTCGACATTGTTGTCGGCGGCGATGCGGGACGATCGTACGACGCGGAGAAATCACGTGTCTCAGTCATATCCCGGGATAAATAAGGGATGCCGCCGCTGCAGCTCCGCCGCCGCCGCCGCCGCCGCCGCCGCCGCCGCCGTGTATGTGCATATATATGCGCGTTTATCGACGGTAATAGCGAGATAACGTCCGTCATTGCGCGAGCCGTTAAATACGTTAAACGTGTTATCATAATGCATGCGAGGCCGCTGCCAAGTACTGCTCTAAAATTCCATTTAGCTTAGTGAACTCGCAAGTTTTAATTGACTATCTTAAAGGCAGTTTGCGCGCGATGAGCGGCGCACCGTCTTCGCTGCTGAGAAACGGGGCTAACAATTATTTATCCCGACTCGAACTTCAACAATTTGCCACTCTGGCAGCCGCATGTATGTGTGTCAGCCGCTTCTTCCTCTTTCTCTCGACGAATTTTCGCGACGTCTTCCTTCCCTTTTCATGAGCGAAGACGTCGCGAAAGTCTTCTTGCGTCCTTCTTGCGATTGGACTGACGCGTCACGCTATGATTGGTACCTTGCGCGCGAGAACGCGTTCGTCTGAGAGCGCTCGAGGTTTGAACGAAAATTTGGTAGACTCGAAATTTCACGAGAGAGAGAGAGAGAGAGAGAGAGAGAGAGAGAGAGAGAGAGAGAGAGAGAGAGAGAGAGAGAGAGAGAGAGAGAGCGCGAGGGAGCGCCACGCGCATTGTGCTAATGAATCGACGGCGAAGAGTCCTTTACGCGTTCTCTCTGTCCTTTGGCTCGGCTCTCAATATTACCGAGAGAAGGATTTTACAGCTGTTTGTAGTTTTTTGCAGCGCAGCGACTGGCAGAGCGAGTTGAGCAAAAGGGGAACGTCGTAGGGAGGATACAATTGCGCGCGCGGAGGCTGCGAATAGACGAGGGAGTCAGAAAGGAGCGGCAGAGACGTCGGAACGAAGAGAGAGAGGAAACAAAAGAAGGAAACAGAAAACGAAGATGGATGCGTCGAGGTGAAAATAAGAGAAACAAACGACAAGGAAGGAGAGAGGGAGGGAGGGAGGGAGAGAGAGAGAGAGAGAGAGAGAGAGAGAGAGAGAGAGAGAGAGAGAGAGAGAAGTTTCTCTTCGACGATGAGAAATCAATTCCTCAAAGACAAAATGAAGTAGCAATAAACGCGGAGGGGATGATATCGACACTATGTGATGTACGGACGAGATAAGAATCACCGAGCGTCGGCGATGACGAAAGAGAGAGAGAGAGAGAGAGAGGGAGGGAGGGGGAGAGGGAGGGCTCGAAATCTCAAATTAATCACGGCCGGGATGTGCAGCGGCTTTTTCGAGGATCATGAACTCGCCTGCGAAAGGCTCGCTGCGAAAAAGCCCGGCCGAATTATGCAGTATCTCGTTTTCGCGCAAACACAGCGCGCATAATTAATCACCGCGCGCTAACCGCATGAAAGATAATTTACTTTGCGGGCTTTAATGTATCAGCAAGCGACGAACACCACACACACGCGCGCAGCCGTCGTCGGTCGCGCGCACGCGGAAAGAGGCAACGGTCCAAAAGAAACGATCTGACAGGAAGGAAGAGAGGGAGGGTAAGAGGCGGGTAAGGGGAGGGACTCGCGTTGATACGGCGAAAAGCACACAATCGCGGAGCGCCGGCGACGAGGAATCCATGAAATTTGGACTTCTCCGAGACCTCCGCGGCGATAAATGTGAGAAACACGATGCGCATTCGCGGTTATCACGGCGATCGATGATACACGCCGAGACAAAGACGAACATTCGAACGTTTTTTCCGGCCTGATATCGAGAGAAGAGCGGAGGATCACGGTAAAGAGGCGGACGAATGCGAGGAGGAGCGGAGGGGGGACCGCAGGAGAAATAGCGACGGGCGGCTTGCGGCTGCTGCGAGTGCATCGTTCTGCTTTCTCGATTTTCTCCAACAACCCTCGTCCTCGTGCCAACCTACCTACCTACCTACAGACCTACCTACCTACCCACCCGTTCCTTCTTCTTGCCCTCCCGTCTCTTTTCTCACACGTCTGCTCTCTCTCTCTCTCTCTCTCTCTCTCTCTCTCTCTCTCATGCTCTCACTCGCGCGCCGTGCCTTTACCTTTTTTGCATCCGAGGGAAACACAGGGAGAGAGCACCTTTTCACGGAGGTGAAGAAGGAACGGTTGTCTGACGCGGATGCCGCTCGCCCACGATATGCACTCTCCGTTATAGGCAGACGACGGTGACGAGGACGCTGACGACGACGATGACGACGACGGCAAAACGACAATAGCAGCACCGACGACGGCTGCACCCACCGCCGCCGTACTTTCACGTTTCTGATCTACTGATTGCTCACCCACGCGATCCGTCCGGTAATATACCGGTAAGTATAGCGGGGGAGAATCGGTGAACGGTTCTGTCATGCACGAGCCGCTCTAGCACGACCTGGCTGCGATGCTTGGGCCGAGATCGGGTGAGATTTTCGCCGGATTTTCCCGGGCGACGCAAAGTCCCCCAACTGGCTGTTATTAAATACGATATTAAAACTGTCACAAACCGCGCGGCGTTCGGTTCGCTTCACGTTGCGAGAGTCAAAATTCGACGCGTTCGTTGAAAGTTGAGCTATTAGCGCTAGTCGGAAGTCGTCATCTAGCGCTGCGATTTCAGAGAGCGCGGCCGGACGGGGGAGGCTCGCGCACAGAGCTCGGCGCGATGCGGGGATCGAAATAACGAGATTCCTTTGAAATTTGCGCCGCGCTGTGGCAAATGCAAAATAAAAGAGAAACGAAGCCGCGGAATAGAATAATTTCGCGCGGGCGTGCAGCGACGGGACGGTCGATTAACACGTCGCGGGAGAGCCCTGTCAGAAATTTCTGCGGAAAAACGAAACTTCCTTTTCCTCATCTAATTCCCCCCCCCCACCGTGCTCTCCGTGCGCGAGAGCCGCACGCTGAAACGTAATTATCGAGCATTACCGGATACAATGGCCGAATTTTCCCCGCGTCATTTTTCCGTCCCCGCCCCCGCCGCCCTCCGTCCGCCGTCTTCGCGCGCTCGCCGCGATGCGCGCCGCAACGCGGCGGGTGTATTTTTTACCAGCAATATTATAACGCAGTCTCGCAGATGGAAAGACCGCGGGCGATGGCGGAGTAAGCGGTGTGCAGTTATTGATTTCCTGTTAACCGGCTGTTTCGCCGGCAGAATTACCGCGGACGCATTTTTAACGTGCCATTTGCTGCCAACGCGCTGCAAGGAGCGAACGTGTCCGTTCGCGAAGCGTCGTACTTCCCCGCGCGCGGGGAAGCAAATATTCGCCGGCAATTTACAAGTTCGCGCTCTGTGTGAGCTCAGTTTAATTCTTATATTCGCTGCCCAGGGAATTTCCATTAAGAATACAGCACACGCACATATACGCACACACGTGGCGCAAATAGCACACGTCGGTAATGGATATCAGCCGTTATCGTGTGTGTTTGTCCGTGTCGAGAACGCAGAGCACATTTTTAGCGAATGACGCTCGGCGAGAATGGAGCGCGAACGATTTCGCGCGATACGCAACGGAGCAACATTACGCACCGTTTATGCGCCGTTCGGTTGCGCCGCGGTCGCGGTAATTTGCGGGATTATGTTGCTCCAGAGATTCAGCGCGCGTGAAATTTTGCGGCGGGGCTTAACGTCGATATAAGTATAACATCACTCGAGGAAGACTTCTCTTTAGAGAAATTCGTCGAGAGAAGGAGGCAAAGAAAGGACATTTGTTCCACTCACCAGTTTCAGCCACGCGTTGGTCGTGAGTATTTGGTTCTTTTCATCCTGAAACAAACGAAACGATCCATTATTTCACGCGGACATAACGAGGGAGTGACGCTGCGCAGCTTACCGCACAAAATTGCGACAGGTAACACTGCGCAGCGCAGCAAATTTCGAAATTATCACGCGTGGAACTGTTTAAAAATTTGCACGAAATTTTCTCACGGGCAGAGCCGCGCCCGTTCCGCTCTCGGCCGTTTCATTTACAGTTTCTACTCCGACGCTTATTTTTTTCATCCGCTACTCTGTTACGTTATTTCTCTGTTTACTCGCGGGATTGTTATGGCTGAATGTTGATGATTCATTTGAAAATGATATTAGCAACGTGTTATCGATACATGCAGGATACGGTGTGGGGTGTTTTCACGATTGGTTTCGATTTCATGTTTCACGGCGACCCTTTAAATTTCTGGCACGCCCGCTACTAACGAACAAATGCCGGCGCACATGTCAGCGGGGTCAACGGCCGCGTGGTCGAACGGCCAGCTGACATAACGCGGCGGCGGTGGAGGGAGGGGGGAGGGGGGGAGTCCTTGCAGCGACTCGCGCGTTACGTAAACGCGCGTACTTCTCGCAATGGGACGCGGACCTGCTTTCACCGTCGCTTTCGCGTCGTGTAACTCGGCAGGTGCCGCTGATTCGCTACAGAATGGCGTCGAATCGATCGACTACACGCTCCGATATCGATCGCCGATGTTCCCTCGCCCTTTTGGAATTCGCTTTGGGAGTCGCGCCGGCTCGGAATAAAAGCCGTCGGAAAATGCTCGCACGCTCCTGCGACGAGAATACAGACTCGTGAAATAATGATTTATCGATGAAATTAGATTACCGCGTGCGACCGCCTTCAGGCTACGGCGGAAATTAGTCGGCGGTGAGCACTTCGAGAAATCTCGAGATTGGATATGGATCGGTGGCGTCGTAAAACGCCAGTTTGCTGTTTCTAATGGGCATAAAGAACAATCAGGGATGAGAATAATTGCGGCTTTTCCGTCGGATTTTGACATTTCCGCGAAACGGTCCAAGCCATCTCGCGAAATTGTCACTGCACTCTCGAATCGGCTAATGAACTATTTGTTTGGCATTTTTACGTTTAATCGGGACCTATTCTACTTCTCTCTCTCTCTCTCTCTCTCTCTCCCTCCCTCCCTCCCCCTCCCCCTCTCTCTCCCTCTCCCCCTCTCTCTCTCTCCCCCTCTCTCCCCCTCTCTCTACCCCTCTCCCTCTCTCTCTCTCTCCCTCTCTCTCTCTCTCTCTCTCTCTCTCTCTCTCTCTCTCTCTCTCTCTCTCTCTCTCTCTCTCTCTCTCTCTCTCTCTCTGTCTATCGGCACAGTTCATATTTTCACATATCTATTTCAATATTAACACGCGGACCCGCTCGGTACGAGCAAACAGGGCGGCAAATATTTATTCGCAAAATGAATGAACGTGTGATTTAACCTCATCTATTCGCCCAGTGATGCTCACCAGCGTTTCTACACAAAAGTTCTCGAAACCGTTTCAAAAAAAGAATTCCGTGCTCACCGTGCTCGATGCAGAGCAACTCGCAGATAACGAGACGGCTGCTGCACGCATTTAATACGAGCCTCGAAGATTATGAAAAGATGACAAGGAGGGAAAATTAAAATGTATCAGGACTGAAATTCCCCAGAGTGCTAAAAGGTTGCCTCACGCAGCGAGAAAGTGACAGCCGATGACTTCGGCCGACGAGTGCGCGCGGATAAAATTTCCGGCAGTGCCGCTAAGAAGATCCAACGAGTCGTGAGCGAAGGCGGAAGCAACGACGGGAAAATGGGGGAGTCCAAACGTGAGAATTCCCGCCGAAAAGATAAGCAATAACCGCCGACCGTAAACGCTCGCTCGCGCCGAGTCGACGGAACGCAGAGCCGTCCTCTCGTCTTTGCTCGATGCAGTCGCGAGTCTCGAAATGCTCCGCGAGAAAACGGGCGCGCGTTTTCACTGTCGTTTGGCGCCGGCGAAACGAGCTTCGCGTTGCCTATAGACAGTCATGTTAATTGAATTCGTTACTCATCATGCGCATTTCGTTCCGGCCGGTGGCGTAATCGAGGTGTAGAGTTTTGGAAAAAAAGAAAAAGAGAAAGAGAGAGAAAAAAAGTCGAGTGGCGCGCTAGCGGATAGATGTAAACATTTTTTTTTCTTTTTCCCCAAAAACAATCGCTCGCGCAGCGACGGGACGACGAATGGAAAAGTGGGATGTGAGCGTGCGCAAACGCGTTTTTCCTATTGTTTGTTAAATCGATTAAAATTCGTTACGGTGCACTTGGACCGCGGTCGTATCGTGCGTATATGAATATTTCGCCGCTTACATCGTAACTGTTATAATTTTCGAGCGATTACGCGTGGCGAAATCGAACGAAAGGATCACTCGCAATAACAGTCCGACGTGGCGTCACGTCGTTTTCTCCGCGTTGCCGGAAAGCCTCGTGTATCTGCGGGTTATGTCCACACAAGAATTTTTGTTTCACCCGGCCGATAAAACTCAACACCCAAAAAAAAGTATTCTATTTGTAAAGTGATTTTTCCATAGCCTAATATTCTAATTCTAAAAAAGGCGAGGCCTTTTAAAGAAAAAGGATTCGATAACGCAATTTAAAACGAACCATTCATCTAAAGTTTATTAGATATTATTCTGTTTTCCTCTTATTTCAAGAGGATTTCCTCTTACATCAATTAATTTTCCTCTTGTATGAAAAGGAATATGTTGATTTGAATGTCGGCTTCTTTTATTCAGTCATATTCTAACCTCCGGACGTGAAATAAAAATAGACGAAAAAATAAAAATAGAAAAACGAAAAAATAACCATATACTTATGGGTCAGAATATTTGGAACGTTTTTATAAAAGATATGTGTGTTGCTGTAACATATAACGAAGTTCATTTACCCATATTTGGTCAAATGCAATTTATAATCTATTGCAAGAAGTTGAGTAATATATTCTTTCTTTTAACTATATGTCATACAACTGATTATGATGAACATCTTTGTAGCTATGAAGTACATAATAAAATTGATTGGAAATTTATTTATTATGATGATCTTATTTCATTCGTGCCTACTTATTGTAGAACTGGAGCTAGAAGTACATCTATATATATATATATTACTTTTTGCTATACATTATAATAATTTGTTTAAATTAGCCAGTAAGCATAAAGTACAGTAAGAATGAATAATAATCCTCTTAAAAAAGATTAAATAATCTGTGTATAAGAGGAAATTTATATTAAAATCAATAAAATTTGCATTATACATATAACATATATAATCCCTCTAACTTTAAGAATAATGTATTTACAGGTTGCGTGAAAAGTTCGCGGAGCGGCATTTATAAGTAAACGGTAGAATTATAAATTATAGTCGGTTATATAGAATCATTCTTCAGATGAACCTAGGTTAGGTTTCATTTCCATCTGTCAATTCTTTCTGTATTTACAAGCCAATTGAAGTTGACATGTCAGTATATTTGTTTGCAATGGAAAATTTGAATCAGCGTGCAGTGATTGAGTTCTTTGTTAAAAAAGGTTTAAAGGCAATGGAAATTCATTCCAAGATGGTAAATGTGTTAGGGGAATCTGCTCCTTCAAAAACAATGGTTTGTAAATGGGCACTTGAGTTTCAACATGGTCGTACAAGCATTGAAGACGATCCACGCAGTGGACGTCCAAAAAGCGCATCAACACCAGAAATCATTGAGCAAATACATGTTATTGTTTCTGAAGATCCAAGTGTGACCAGGCATTTCAGATGAACGGGCACGGCATATTTTGCATAAAGAATTACAAATGAAAAAGGTGTTTGGAAAAGTGATGCCGCATACGTTAACGATTCAACAAAAACTCGCTCGAAAACAAATTTCTCAGCGTCATTTGGATCGTTTTAAGAAGCATAAAACCGATTTTGTGCGTCGTTTTATAACTATGGGTGAGACTTGGATCTATCACCATAATCCTAAATTGAAACAGGAATGTTTACAGTGGACTGAAGCTGGATGTTCAGCTCCAAAGCGAACAAAGCATGAGAGATCGGCAAAAAAGGTTTTGGCATCAAGTTTTTGGGATGCTAAAGGGATTTTGTTAATTGACTATCTGGAAAGAGGTGAAACAATTAACTCTGAATATTATTGTAACCTTTTGGATCAATTGGACGTAAAAATTCGTGAGAAAAGACCTGGTTTGCAGCACAAACAAATCATTTTTCACCAAGACAACACACCTGCTCGCACAAGTGTTTTGTCAATGTCTAAATTCAATGAATTGAAGTACAAATTGCTTGATCATCCACCGTATTCGCCAGATTTGGCACCCAGCGACTTCTGTCTGTTCCGAAACCTGAAACAATTCCTCCGTGGAAAGCATTTTTTGTCGAATGAAGAAGCTATAGCAGCCGTAGAGGTATATTTCGCAGACCTTCCAGAAACACACTTCCGCGATGGAATAAAATTATTGGAGAGCCATTGGGCCAAGTGTATTGAAGTTAATGGAGGCTATATTGAAGAATAAAATCATTTTTAGAATTTGGTATTCTTTATTTCAGTTTCGCTCCGCGAACTTTTCACGCAACCTGTATAATATTCTCCTCTTAGTCTTAGAGGAATTCTCTTGAGGCCATATAAAAGAATAAAACCCTTTAAAATTTAGATAATCCCGTTTCTGAAATTACCTTGTTTTTTGGCGAATCATATACGGGGGGGGGTGGAAAACTGGGAACAGTTGCATAGCTGAATACTCGCTGAGTCGCGCGGAATCGTTCTCGCCCATTTCGCATCGCGCATGACTCGTAAGCGAGCTTGAGCGACCGATAGCTGGACGAAATGCGCCGCCGGAAGTTCGAGGGGAAGGAACGAGCCCGAGTCATCCCGTTCGAGCGTTTTTCCGATCTCTCGTCACGCCGAGATGTAAGAAATCTTATTGGCGAGGACCTTTACGCGCGATCCAAGCGACGGCAGTATGGCCCAGCGCGCTTCGCCTGTGGTCACCCCTTTTC